AAAGAAGATCTAAGCATATGCGACAGAAGATGAAGTGGAGTCTCGCCCCGAACGCATTGATTGTCTGCTGTGCTCCGCGCGCTTGGCAGACACCAAGACGCTAGGCCCGGTTAGAAACGGTGGCGTTAAAAACCACGTGAGAGAGCTCGGGAACAAAACAGAAAGAACGAGAAAGATCCGCGGGTGTTTTATAAAAAGGGCCGCCGGCAGTATTGAACAAATTCAAGGACCTATCAAGTTTTTCAAGGACCTAAGACGTTTTTCAAGCACTTTCAAGGACCTAAATTTAGCAAAAAAAAATTCAAGGACTTTCAAGGACTCTCAAGGACCGTGGGAACCCTGTTATATTTCGTTAGCCGTAATTCCTTAGTTAACTCTAAAAGTATCTGTTCGTTTACATGCACGAATGAAAAAAATATTTCTCCTTCAATCATTGTCTTTAAAATTGCTCAGGCACATTTATCTTTTAGGAATTTAGTTATCTTCTCTCGTGTTTAGGACTAGGCTATAAATCGATGAATTGCGAAATATCGTTTTAAAGCATATATTGGCAGGTCAATATAAAGACCTTCGTTTAAGGCGATGCGTCAGAAATCTGATTTAAGCCGCCAATAGTGACTTTCGTTTTAAGCGATGCATCAGAGTTAAGCTGCCGACAGTGACTTTCGTCTTAGGTGATGCACCAGAAATGCGGATTTAAGCCGTAGGTACAATACAACACTCGAGCTTTAACAATCTAACATGTGATGATCCTTGCATGCGCATTGACGAAGACAATTTTGATTTCGTCTAACTGCACAGATGTTGATAGCGCCTGACTACGAAGACTATGTTAGTTTCGCAATGTTTTGAATGACGAAGAGTGAATTGAATCGGTACTCCCGGTTTCGTGCGAGGATCAGCATTGAAATAGCTTCTATGCATAGCTTCTTTATGCGCCATTTTTGTCTCTCGGATTTTACTTTTCTTGAAGATTATTTAAATACAATCAGCATTGAAATAGCTTCTATGCGCCATTTTTGTCTCTCGGATTTTACTTTTCTTGAAGATTATTTTCAGCTGGACTTTTGTTATTTTGTGATCGCTGTGCACTTTATTTCACCGGATTTAACGTTTCTTGTAAATTATTTTCAGTAAGACTTTTGCTACTTAGCAATCTTTTCGTTGTGCATTAATTTGTCACTTTTTTTATTTTCTGATTTTTTTTTTTTTTTTGTCTGTCAGGATTAATTTATTCTTGTCAATTATTTCTAGTAGACCTACTGCCATTTTGCGATCATTGCACAACCACTGTTATCTTAAATTTTCGTTCTGAATTCAATCTATAATGAAAAGAAAATATGAATACAAAAGATTCCTCATTGTTTTTAATTTTAAGTGATAAAATTTAATAGCGGTATTTTGTATTTAACTTTGTTATAAAAAGTTAGCTTTTTAAATTTATTTGATGCATGAAGTATGATAATTTGATAGAATTCGATTATTTTTAAACCAATAAATCATCAGTCATTTTAATTATAAAAATATTTGGCTATAAGTTAATACAAATATATTTTTTTTAATTGAATAATAAGTTAAGCAATTTTTTGATAATTTAAGAATAGTACTCAAAAGTATTTTTTAAATTTTTCTTAAAATTTCTTCAATACTTGTTTGTTTCATAATTTGTTAGACAGTCAGTATCATTTTTAAACAAATTAATCCTTAGTTGATTTTACTTTCAAAAAAGAAAATAATAAATAAATAAAAAACTTACATTTATTTTTACATTCTTTAAGTATTGAATTTGACCCTTAGTTAATACAGCTTATTTCAAATAAATAAATAAAAGAAGATTTAACGATGCTTCAAAAGCACAGTTTTTTTTCAATAAATAATTTAAAAAATGTTTTACTAAAGTGAACATTTCTTTAGTTTGCTTTTTACTTCTTTTTTTTTCTTTTAATTTTTAATGCATTAATGAAAATTATTATGTTAGTTTTATTATTTTTAAACCAATAAATCTTAAGTTATTTTTAATTTTAAAAAGAAATTTAAATTAAGCTCGGGTTTGTTTTTACTTAGGAAATTTTCTTTTGTAATCGATTCACTCCTTTTATTTATTTTTGAATAATTTAAAGATTTTTGATAGATAATTTTTGAACATATGCTAGCATTTTGAACATGCACGATACACCGCTATATCGCGATGTCTAACAGACAATATGAAATTTTTTACATTGCCCAGTCCTAAACGTGTTATAGAGGAAAAAAAGAAACAAATCTGCACTACATTGTATTTAGTTCTCAAAAATCATCATTCTATCCAAGAATAAGGATGGGAAGTAGATATTGACTGGGGAGGGGGGGACAGGTTGAGTCTCTTGCCAAGAAACAGTTTCCAGCAGGTTCAGGGTGCCGAAAAAGGAATTCCCACTTACTGTGACCTCATTCCCTGATGGATCTCATTGTAAGGTACCTTACCTGGATGGAAATCTAACATTTAGAAAGTTTTAATCAAATGTTTTCCACTTCCCAGAAACTTTAAAATAAACCATTGCCATAATTTCTTTAGGTTTCATTTGTTTCGATATAAGTAGGCAAATTCTGTAGAAAACAAAAATTTATAATTAGCACAAAAACTGATTAAATGCATTTTACTTTTGTTTCTTCTGTGTCCACTGCATTATCAGAGCAAGAATCCATAATGATTGTGGGAGAGTTTGTGTCCATATTTTCGGGATCATGCTGCTTTGTAGTTGAAAAGGAGCTATTGTTATCATTTGGAAGTATTATTGAGGTCTGAAAATGAACATTTCAAACACATTTTAAATCAAAATTTATGTTTGAACCAGGAGTTGGAAAATTCTTCTTTATCCTGGCTCTGAAAAAGAATCTATATACATGCAACTTTGAGTAATTACTAAAACCATTATTAATCAAGTAAATATTACTTTGCAATTGTTATTATAATGCTCAAATATAGTTTTCCCCAATAGAAAAACTCATTTAAAATAGCAGAAACACACTATGTAATTTTTTAGAAAACAATATTTATATAATTAGAGATGAAAATATTGTTAAAAAATATATACAATTCTTTTTTCCCTTTCAATGTAGGCAGATAATTTTTAAACTCAAAACGCATTTTGCAAAATTAAGTTCCTTTTGAAAATTTTGAATAAAATTAAACTTTAACAAAAATCATTGCATTTTTTCTTTGCTGTGGCTAAATTTATCTCAAAATGTACAAATTTAACAGGAATTCTTTAACATATTTATAAGAATAGCATGAATCAACAAAAATCATTTAAAATTCTTTTAAAAGTAGTCTGCAATTATCTTAAAATTAATTAATTGCATATGTCACATCTGTAAAACTTTTGTTTAGGTAGAAATATAAATTTAAACTTATACAATTTATTTTATTTACCATTCACAATTTAACCCAGTTTTTCAGTTATCCATGGTCTTGCAGAAACTTGGTTATTTCAGATTCTCTGTAATTGCAAATATCTGAAATGGTAAAGCTTTTACTTGCACGGCAATTCCTACCTATTTGTTCGGTGTAAAGATCTTCTTAAGATTTAGATTCAAATGCAAATTTTTGATTCCTAGTTGGCATAATAGCCTAATGGAACTTGTTACATGGAAGGTACTTTTACAATTTATCACAGTAAAACTCAAAATAATTGGCAATATCATACAGTAAACCACCTTTTATATTACAGGTAGTTTTTTTTCCCTCCCTCTCTCAGTGCTTAATATTTTTATTATCTAAAATGATAGAATAAGTTTAAATTTAATTGACATATAAATTAAATGTGCAATACCAAAGTAAATATGAAAATTGCATTAAAACAGAAATGTTTCTTTCAAGGAAAAATACGCTAGTAGGATGTGCAGTTATTTTTCAAGATCACTTGTTAAAATCATTCAAAAAGTAAAATGCTCCAAATCTGCCTTCTGCAGCGAACAGAAGTTTTGTGCATATGATGAAAAATTTGATATTACTGGGTTGAAATATAAGAGTACCCCACATTAACCCACAAAATAACTCTGACATTGTTATAGACTTGAGAAAAATCTTCAATGGAAAAATAGATAGCAGCAGAAATTTCATCTCCTTTCTACAAATAGTTTCTCAAAATATTCAAGTTAACCCCTTAACTGTGATGCCTTGTAAAACAAATTTTCCTCACCAGCACAAGTAAATAATGAAATGAGAAAAAATTAGTTTTCCTTTCACACTCAAAAGTAGTTCTTCAAAATAGCAAGAAAGCAAACATGTTCAACTTTGGAACTCAGTTAAAGGGTTAAAATTTGACACTTAATAATTAAAAAGCAATAAACACACAAATGTTTGCAATTAAAAAAAAATACACAACAATTTTTAATGTTTGTTTATTTATCACTAAAACATCTTATTCCTATAAGACATACAAATAAAAATAAATGATTTCTTAAAATTCAAAGAGTACAATTATTAAAAAAGATTTTAATTTTTCAATAGCAATAAGAAAATCAATTTCTTTACTAGATTTTATCACTAACTAAAACTTATATAGAACAAGGTATAAATTATAATCATGCAAAATGAATTAGATTTTTTTTCATGCAGAAGCATGAATGTAAAAAATAGCATGCTTGAAAGCAATATAAAGTTTCCAGTTAGCTCCTGATTATATATTAATATTTACAACAATTATTTTTTCAACTTTGTATTAAGATTTGTTTCAAATGATTCACTACACAAACCTATATCTGTTTTACTAACTTTATGAAAAAGTATTAGCAATTGTTGTATTGACCATTTTCAAAAACGAAAAAAAATATTACCATTTAACTTGAAACATTAATACTTAAGAACTTACATACATATAAACTTAGAAGTTTCTAAAATAAATTTTATGAAATAGATTCACTAGCTATAAATAACAGAGTGGGGCAAACATTTAGCAATAAACCCTAATTTTTACATATTCATCCAATTAGAGATTATTATTTAATATTGTGTATACTTAAATATTTCTTTTAAATTATGAATAGAGAAAACAAACATATATATATATATGAAGTAAGCATATATGTATAAATTAACTTTCTAAATTTAAGTTTCTACAATTAATATATAGCTGAATAAACATTGCCAATAGATAAATAATTAATAAAATCTATCGCTTTTAAGTGGAAATGCACAACTATTGGGTAGCGGGTCACAAAAACTACAGAATACAATGTTGGTTATACAAATGGGGTATTGGGTGTACAAATGAGATATTGACTACAGCATTTGATTACAAACTTATAATTAATCTTTGGCCCTGGTGCCAAAAAATAAAAAATAATTTAAGTCAATTGAATCAGATATACTTATTAGAATACTGGGGAAAAGATGGTAAATTTATAGGTAACTTAAAGTCACATTTATCATAAAAATTAACGAATACAAAATTAGATAAATACGATAATTGTCATTGCAAGTTAGAAAGAAAAAAATGTATTCATCCTATCGATTTAAGATTTTTTTTTTCTTTCATTTTCCTGTATAGTTTATTAACACAAATTTGTAGGCAATTACATACCAATGCAGACACTAAACATATTGCATAAACAGAATTTTCATAACGAAATTGTCCTATTCAGATATTTTAAGAAAGGCTGTGAACTAAATAAGTATCAAGCATGAATAACAAAAATTCTGCTGTATTTTTCTAAAATATTTTTATTATTATTTAGATAGTTCATGAGCCAATTTATAAGGCTTTGTTGGACACTTCTGGTGCGTGGGCTGTAGATTGACCAACCCTGCAAGTATCTTAATTTGTTTTAAATTAGGATTTAACTAGGTATAATTCATTTACAAAATCACTGGTAATTTCATATTGAGCTGCTATCAAAATTGCTAACAAGCAATACAAATTTTAGCTAATTAGAGATTTTACAAGATTAGATACATCAAGACCATAGTAAACATTATCAAGAAAAAAAAATATGAGCAATTCTTACTCACAAATAAAAAAAACTAGATTTTTTATCAAGCATTAATGGAATTTTAAACTTACAAAACAAGAAAATATGCACAAACGATTTAAAAAATTAACTCTATAAGTAAAAAAGTAAAAGCAATTTTTTTTTTAAATATTATAAGCACAAATATGTCACAAATAATGTAATACACAACAAAAATAATATATAAAACAGTAAATGAAAGATTGCAAGCAGTAAAAAGTAAAACAAAATGTCAAGAGAAATCATTTTTACTATTCAATCTATAGTTGAAAGAAAATCAAAATAAAGTAATAAAAAGATTTTAACACATGCATTTTAAAAAAGAGCATAAATTTTATGATTAGCAAAAAGAGAAAAATGTCCCACAAAAATAAAATATGCAAAATAAAAAATTGCACACAAAATGAAATAGTTCAAGCAAAGAGAAAAAGAAAAGAATATTTTCCAGATAATTCATGCAAAAAGAGATATATGAGCAAAGCGTTAAAGTAAAGATTTGCAAGACCAATTTTAATAGCCAACTTTTTCTTATTAATAGGCAGCATTTGTAAGCCACAAGATAGATGGTAAAAGCAGGCGGTCTACCTGAGAATCTTCAGTAGCAGAGTCATTCCCAGGACTTTCTTCTAAAAATGGGAGCTGTACATCACGCTGAGACAAAATGGTAGATGAATCTGCTTCCAAAGACATTCTCTTAGATTTTGGACTTCTGTCCTCCTCTAGAGGCCGCTTTTTTGTACCATTATTGGGAGAATCTTCATCGCTTACCTATAAAATAGATACAATTCAATTCAGACATCTAGGTGCCCAGATTCAATCAATAGCTGAGTGAACAAATATTAACTAGTCATTCTTTGTAAAAGAAGGTATACATGCAAATAATTATTCTTTTTATACTATTAAATCAAGAATTCTAAAAATTCAAGAACCCTTAGTTTTCACAAGAATCGGGATATTGGATTTTAAAATCGCATAAATAAATTGCAATATTGGACTTTAAGAATGTGAAAATACAAACCGCAATTCTAGATTTTTAAATTATGCAGATCAATGGACTTAGGTTAGCGGAAAATCCACAAAAAGATCACATACCTTACTCCTAGTATAGGTATGTTCTCCTAAACATAGTCATTTCTGTGATGAGTATGGTGCCAAAATTGATGAGGGATTTAATATCTTCTTCACTTAGTTCTCTTAACATTAGGGAAGAATATAACACACAAGAATTCCATTTCATAAAAAGGCATGATATCTTCAAGTTTTTATTATGTTTTCAGTACAATGTGAGAATAGAAGATATTAACTAATTTAAAAATTTCTCATGCTGTTTTTATTCTTATTACAACAGAACACTTTTCTATACTAAAGTACTACTTTCTATATTAAAGTAAAGTTTCTATACACCACTGTATTTCATAAGAAAATTATAATCACGAATAAATGGTTTACGTTGCTTTTAAAAATGAGATTTTTGTAACTAAATCAATGCTCCAATAAAAATATAATTCTTGGAAGCTTTTAAGATATGTTTTAAAAATATATAAATTAAAAATAAATCAATTGCAGAAAGAGAGAAAAAAAGTAAAATTTGTATAGTTCCAAAATTGAATTTAAAAAAAAAAAACCATGTGAAAAACCACTAAAACTAAATAAAAATGGAAAATCTGTCATAAGTAGATTCAATAAAAATAAACTGCGGACATAACAGTTACTTTAGCTTTAAGTAAATTTGTTAACTTTATCTTTGAATTTTATTTTCTCTAAGTGTAGAAATTCCGATTTATAAACTCAATCGCGTTATAAAATCAAATGTTCTCAAAACAGATGTAATTTTTAATAGGCGGTGGGCACTGTACTTGTTTTCCATTTTAATAAACAAAGAGGCCCCAAAATATAACTAGCAAAAACACTACTACACTAAAAAATCTTACAAATTTGTTTTTAAAGACAACAAAATCAAAGATGGCATAATAAGAAAAACTTGTATAAAACTAAAAGTAAATAAAATATGCATAAAAATAATCTTACCTTATTGTCTGGTTTCTGAGTAGGGCTACTATTTTCATTATTTACATTTGCATTCTTACCATCACCAGACACTGAATTTACATTGTTAGCTGCCTAAAAAAATAAACAATACTGCAATTTTATTACATATTACACAAATCAAAGAAATAAAAATGAAGGTTATAAAATTAAAACATACTAACAATTAAATGCGTAAAATTACACATCGTAGCTGGAGGGAAAATGTATACGACCACTACTACAATTAACTTTTCTACATCATGTGAAGTTCTATTACAAATTATTGCAATTCAATCTAATCTTGCTAAATCTAAATCTTTGCAATATAGACTCATATTGTAAAGTAAAAGAATCGATAGACAACATTTTATACATTTTGAGTATCATAGTAGTGAATAACCCGATACAACATTATTCACTGTAACAATGCTAAGGACAGCTGTGAGTAATCTTGGGGAGATAAGAAAAGCTGTTTCTCAGATTTATCTTATGCATAATTGTGTTTATATTGGTAAGTTATTTATTTTTAATAATATTAGCTAATTCTTTAAGTTGTTATATTTTATGTAATATCGTTGTCTTGGGTAATGATACGTACCCCAAATCTGTAATATGTAAGTTCATTACTTTTCAAGCCATTACTTGATATTTAATTTTTCCCCACACTCATTGTTTGCCTGTATCTAGCTTTCGCAATAAATAGTCCTATGATAAATGACTAAGGTTCTATTTATATAATGCTTGGAGTCTCTGAGTATCTGGTGTTTTTGTCAATGAGTCTTGAAAATATTTAAAATACTTCATCTCATCAATACTCAAAAATATTTAAAGATCGAAAATAATACAAATTTATGATATTACCATCCGTTCCTTTTTCTTGGATCTTGTTTGGGTTGGAATAAGATGGCTGGGAATGTATTTTGAAAGCTCTTTCCTGAATAAAATAAGGAATACACTAAGTTAGTTTGAAATATAAGAAATTTAATTAATCAAGAAATAATGCTGTAACAACAGTAAACATACCTCCTTACATGCTTTGTGTCTAATTTCATACCCTTTTTAAATGCATTATTCAGGGCAGCTGAGTTGGCAACTAAAGAAAATAAATATTAAGATAGTAAATATTACTTACAAAAATGACTTTAAAATTGAAAGAAACATAAATTTTATGTTAAAAATAACACTTTTTAACTTCATGAACATATCTTTTGGAAAGTGTCAAGCCTATGCAATTCTGCTTATCAAATTATTACAACTTTGATTCTGTAAAGCAATAATTTTAGTAACCCTTAGACAAAATTATTGAATAGTAGAAAAAACAAGGCTCTTAACAGTTTTTAAACAAAAAAGAATTGGGAAAAAAGGACATATTTTAATAATTCGTTTCTAGTAAAAAAATAACTTAACATGAATATATTTTAGAAGAAATTATTTTATTGAAAATTTTTCAAGAATACTAAGAACAATGTGCACTGCAAGTGTTCAGCATGTGATTGATTATACTGCATCAAATAACTTCAATCAAAGAAACTTCATTTTATCATTTTTTAGTGATGATAGTATTTAATAAAAATACTGTAAAATAGTTTACGGATAGAAATTAAAAGTAAAGTGGTGAAATATTTTGTTGCCAGTTAGATTTCCCAAGCAAACCATCATTTCCTTATCAAAATGAAATTGAACACTTGAGGCCCACATGATTTCTGATCGCAACCTAACATAACTTGTTACAATGATCAAGAATAATAATATAATAATTAAAACTAAAGAAATAGTCTACATTACCAGAATCTGTGAAATTCTGGATGTCACGTGTGAGATCTACATTAACATTTTCTGTCTTGGTAAATTGAAGTCCCATGAACCACATGCATGCAAATTTGTCACTGAAAAGACAATAGTTATTTTGAAAAATATAAATGGAAAAACAAATCAAAAAAATTTATGCATAAAAATTATATCACAAGACTTTTACAAATAGATTTAAAACAAAAGCAAGGAGACACCAAAGAGAAAAAATACTTCTACTTACGGATCTGCACCTATTGGAGTATAAGTTTCAGGGTTTACATGTGCTAAGTGAATATTTGGATGTCTTTCTAAATGTGAGATCAAAATCCTGATTTTTGATTCCACCAATCCATACCTTTAAAAAAAAATATTTGTGATATGCATTTCTGCACCATAAGTTTAACAAATGCTAATAATAAAAATATTAAAACAGCCAAATCAATGAAAAGTACTAAACAAAAAAAAATTCTTCAGATAATTAAGCAGCTACTAATAACTATATATTTAAATAATGAATACTATTCACTTACCATTCCAAATGATCTTTTTTGGAGAGTGCAGAGGCTACAAGCACTATAAAATGCCTGAAATATAAAATATTTTTCAGAAAACATTCTGTAATGATTAAAAATTTAAAATCGCATAAATAAATTGCTTGTATATTGGAAACTTATTAAAAATAATAATAGTAGCTTACTAGTTTTTAATTATAAAAAAAAGAAATTTAGAAAATTGTTTTAATGATGAATAACAAAATATCTGCATTTTTACCTTACAACTAAATTTAAATCACATTACAAAACACTGTATTATCATCATTTTTATATTTAATGGTAAAGAAAAGTCGTATTAAATTTTAAAAAACAGTTTTAATATTAGACTGGCTTGAATGTAGTTTCATGGCACGAACAGAAGCTGAAAAAACAACACAAATATGCATATTAAATGTTAAGAAATAAAACATTTTATGATGTAAAAACCAAAGACTGAAAAACTAAAAAAAAAGGAGAAATTGAACTCATATGTTCAAATACCAGGTATAAAAACAAAACAATCACAAAAAGCAATTAAATTTTTGGGGATTTATTAAGTTTAAGAATTTACTATGTATCAAATGACACGAAACCTTTTTTTTGTGTTTAAAAACTTTTGTATTTTGCCTATAAAGCAAATATATATACACACACAGTCGGGCCTCTATTTAACGAAGTCGCTAAATCCCAATAATAAGTTAGTTACATAGAAAATTCGTTAAATAGAAAATCATCTTTTGAAATACTTCAGCAATACAAAACAAGTTTCAAACTCATAAACACTAGACATAATTAAAATTGCTATGGATACACCTTTATATCATAAAGTAGTATCTAATATTTATTTTATAAATCTTAATCATAAAAGAAATCTGCATGGAAAGCAAGAATAGAGCAAAACATCATCCAGTGTTACACAATCATGCTGCTTACATTTTCAACTAAAGAAAGCTNATACATTTTCAACTAAAAAAAACTAAATTTATGGAGAAAATTATAGCTGCATTTATTAAAGAAGTAATTTTAAACATACATTATCACAGGTGTTCTTAAGTTTAATTACTACTGATAAAATTCGTTCATTTTGTCTGAGTTTTTCGTTTGAAATGCAAACAAAAAGGGAAAGGGATATTACTACTTTCTCTAGAAAGTTAAGTGGCTTCAAAAATCAATTCAAGGTTATTTCCCCATAAAATGCTTTAGCAAGTTTGAAATGTTCTGAAATATTTTGGGAAATAGGGAAAGTGGATCTCAAAGAAAAGTTCGTTAAATAGAAAATTCACCTTGCTATTTGGAAGTTATTTTACGAAGAAATTACCAATATATTCTTGGTTCCTCGAAAAAATTTGCAAAATAGAGAAATTCGCAAAACTGAAGTTCATTATATATATAGATTTCAAAAGCCAAAAAAAACATTATCTGGTAATAGAAAAGTATTATCTTTTCAAAAAAGTGTTATTTTGTACCTTCATCTTAATAAAAAATTGCTTTAACTTATTTACATGAATAAAACAAAAATATGTGTATAACTTAACAAAAGAAAGAAAAGAACTGCTTACTTATACTGGGAAAAGAAGTTAGAAGGTTCAAAAAGTTTCGCCCATCCAGCCTTTCCTGTCATGATTTCATCCACTATTGCAAGCCCTAAATAATTTACAATTCAAATATATATATATGTTTAAAACAATTATTTATGCTTTAAATATTTATGTATTCTTTCAAAATTAAAAGTGCATATGACAAACTACTTCAAAGGGAAAGTCTTGCAAGAAAGACTTAATAGAAAAGTCATAAAATATAATTCTTGCTGTAAATAAAAACAATGTCTGATACAAATCAAAATAAGACAATTTCTTTTTTCTTCCAGATAATTTTAAAAAGACTCTTGACAAATTAATCTTCAAAAATAAATTTCTACTGCATTAACACTCACATATTTGAGTACCAAAATTTTATATTACCCTATAGCCAAGAGCAGACATGCCAACCTGGCAAAATTAGATTCAGGAGTTTCGTCAGCAAGAATTAAAGAGGTTTTAGGTAGGGTAAAATAAGTATGATATGCAACATATATACCTCTAATGAAATATTTTAAATAAAAAATTATATAAATGAAAGACTGCAAGACATTTTACAAGCTAAAAGAGAACAAATTGTAGAAGGAATCTAACTTATAACAAAGTATGTTGTAAAAAGAAGTTTTAACATAAAATTGAATATTTACAATAAGAAGTCATTATTATCATTATTTAATCAACAGCAAGATTACAAAAAAAAAATAATAATTCGAAAATACTAGTCGCTATTCCTAAAATTGGATTTCTTTTAAATTCAAAAACAAATATCATTGCCTCATTAAAACATTACGGAGAAATCTTTGACACTGTAATAAAAAAAGGACAAAAAACTTTTAAAAAATAAACAAATTGAAGAACCATTTTATTTTCAATTAATTTAAATCATTTAATTCATTCATTTTTTTAATTATTTTTTTTTCTTCTTTTATTCATTGTGATTCGTGCTTTAAATCAAATCAAAGAACCATTTTAAATTCAATTATATTACAAATATATAAAAAAATTTAATTAAGTATAAAAATGATTTTCAGCAAACAAAAAAAAAATTCTAATTGTAAAGTGTTTTTTTTTTAATTATTTAAGAAAAAATTATCTGGCGCAAAATATCATTCTTGTCTCTGTCAAAATATCACAAACTCAATCTGAAGAAAAAGCATACGCTACACCTTTTCTTGAACCTACACTGGAATTCATTGGTATGTGATTAATTCAAATTGATTGCATATTTTTGGGCATATTTTGGTTATTTGGACAGAATTAAAAGGAGAAAAGTATTTTGAAAATATGTTCCACTTTGAGCTTTATAAGTAATTTTATTGCAAAATAAAATTTAAAAGAAAAAAAAACAATAAAAAAATACCATTTTTGAAATTGTCTTGCATAATAGTTCTAGTAGAGTAAGAAACATTGAATGTAGAATTCTGATGAGGATAAGCCGGAGTTATGATAGGCATGAGATGAAATCTATCACCAACATTTACCTGGAAAGGAAAAAAATTAAACTTTTAACATCGTTGTTCAGAAGGTTGAGATAAATTGATATTCAAAATAAATTGTTACAGGCTCAGACAATTTTGATGGTTCATTTGCTAAAAATTAAATATATTCATATCAAAGGAAGCGCTTATAATTATTGATGCTAAATTATATAAATTTCAGAATGCAGTTTTCCATTATCTGGAGTTTGGAACAAAAATTTCCTCTTGCGTTGCAATTCCTTTTAATACCAAAATATACCTTGAAAATAAATCCACACTATTAAAATATTGATAATAACATTGTTATTATCAAATACAAAGAGAAAAAATTTCAATTTTATAGGGATCTAAAAACAGCATTTAGAATAAAGTAATTAAATTTTACGTTAACTATTATACTAACATTAAGAATAAACAAATTTAGCCCAACTACTGCATAGCAAAAATAAAATTTATCAGAAATAGTTTTCAAAAAATACTTTTTAAGTCTATTATAAACACAAATAATTAAATACAAAAGAATTTTTATTAATATAAACCTACTCTAGGATCCCACACTTCAAAGTTTAGTTTATTTTCTTCAGGTTGTTTAAGAAGCACAGGTTTTGGCCACGGCCTAAAAAAGAAAAATTATGGACTGATGATCTAGGAAAATAGAATTACATATTGACATCAATAACTCAAATATAACAAAAATGCTTTGAAAGTAAAAATTGAATAAAACTTGATTAACAAAAAATAAATTACCATTGTGAAAAAACTAAGAAAAACTTATGAACTAAAGTAGCTGCTGCAGCATTAGGATATAGCTGGCAGGTTCTTGCGACAAGCATAGCCCACGACACACCACCTAAGTATCCTAGAACATTTGAATATACACCACGTCCTAGAAGAAATTTAATTATAAATTATTGCACTACAAGAAAAATAAAAACATAATGTCTACAATTAAAAATTAAGATATTAGTCATGATAATTTATCTGACCACTAAATTTTTTTAAGTGAATAAATACTGAAAATTTTAAGGAAATTTTAATGTAAAGTTTTGTACAATTAAAGTTTAACAAAAAATATAATCATTATTTTTTCCTAACTATTTTTAGAAGAAACTTAACTTCAAACGAGAAAATTAGATACATACTTTTAGCCCAAAGCTTAATTGAACGAAGAGCCAATCTAAAATTTTCTCGATTTGGAACAAGGTGCAATATTTCATCAGTCACTCGGCAACCTAAAATATATAAACAAAATTAAATTGGCAAAATATGTAAATAAAGTCATTTTTTATTTCAAAAGTATTAATTATTAACATATAGGTAAATCTAAAGAAAAACTGACTANTTTCCCAAAGCTGAAAATGCCACTAAAAGGGACCAGATTTCAGACCAGAGAAGACATTATGCAGAATGCGACAGACCATCTGAGAGCCATACCGAAGGAGGACTTCCAGCGATGCTTTCAACAGTGGCAGAAGAGTTGGGAGAAGTGTGTGGCAGCTCAAGGGGACTATTTTGAAGGGGACTTGTATTAAATAATTTTATTATAATAAACGTTTATTTTATGAACAAAAGTCGGATACTTTTTGATCACACCTCGTATTTAGAGCATAACTCTTTACTTGCTAAATTTCGATTTAAAAAAGAAGTTAATATTGAAAAGTAAGCTGTATTGTTTGTAAAACATAGCAAATATAATAACAGTATATAATAGCAGATGTAAAATTCAAAATGTTCAAATTACCATTTAGACTTCTAACACATTTAAAATCCAAATTTTTCAAAAGGCTCACATCCCTTAAGTCTTGATCTTCAGGAATGTCTTTTAAAGCTAACCGAGCAAATAGTACATCTAACTGTAAAGGGTTGAGGGAAAAAAAATGAATTGTTTTTAATACAAATTATTATTTAAAAAACGATGAAATGATTATTTTTAAACTAAAAATAATTACTCTAATACAAAGGACAATTAATAACACATTTTTAAAAACAAATAAAATTAAATATTACATTAGAAAGCTTAAAATCATTGTGTTAACCAAAAAGTTCAATGCAAAAGCATTTTTAAATAAAAAAATTTAATTAGAAGAAGGAAAAACATACAAAACAATAATGGGGTATAATTAAAATGTTGCTGAATTCTACATATATTCACTGAAAAATAAAGAGTCATAAAATAAATTTTGGAACTTTCAACTTACTTCAATACCATCAAATGTCATTTTGATTACAGGTACAAATGCTTCTTCTACAGCCTAAAAAGTACAAATTTTAAATTTAATGCATAGCTTTATATGGAACATGAAGTTATTAACTTAATATTAAAAGAGGTTTGGAAAAAAATTTATCTTAGAAGAAATAGAAGATTGAATGTGCATCTTAGAAGTAATAGATAATGCATCCTAGCAAAATACAAAAAGAAATTATCTTCTGTTATCAATCAACTACACTGACACACAACACTATATCAACAAAACAAAAAAAATTACAGCAAAACACGTTCTTGTATTTGTAAGCAGCAGATGTAAGTAGTTTAAGTACTTAAAAAATTTTGCTAGGCATTTATTGAAGATTAACATTATTAAAGATGAAGATAAACAACACAGAAAAAATTGCTTTATCTAGAATAATACCCAGATTAGTTAAGTCTCTCAAACTCATTAAACTTCTTATGTAGCAACTCAGTAAATGGCGATTGTAAAATTAATTTTATGAAAAAGTCCCATACAGTAAAGTGCATGAAAAAAGATTTTTAGAGCCGACACATAGATTTTAATAAAAATATACTACTTCATTTTTTTTTTAAAAATATATAATTGATTAGTTTATCAATACAAATTTCTTCTTTAATATTTCATAGCTTTTTAATCTTTCAATAAAAACAGGATATAAAGATATCAGGAAGAGTGAAAGCACAATTGCATAAAATAAAAATGTCTTTAAAGCAGGAATCAAAATTATCAACTAATTTAGTGATTTACATTTATCAAACCAGAATGATCCCTAAGAGCAAACTTCATAATTTAAAAATTTTAATAGAATTATATCTTTATTTAATCAAATGATTAAAAGTGAGATGAAAATTATGAAGTGATGAGGCTTTGTTGTAAAACTGTCCTATATAAGAACCTATTGATAAAAAAGTGCACCAACACCACTGGCTATGTTAAAGTGCACAAAACAGTAAAGGAAAATTTTATTCGTTTGGAGGGGGGAAACCAATCTTGCTTCTTCAAAATTTCCTGGCATTCCCGATGTTCCAGGTGCAGATAAATAAGCTCTGTATTTCCCATTAATATAGTTAGATAATACAGGCGCGCACACATGCACCAATCTTTGGTAGCAATTCTACAGTTTTGCAGATACTTTAATATTCATTGTAATATAAAAAAAAAAGTATCTGCACTTTCAAAAAAAGTTTGCAGTGTCGGGGGATGTGAAGCACATGACGTAATCATGATTTATGCAAGATAGAAGAAAGTCAGTGTTTAGTTGTATGCATGATGCTCCAGAGGAGAAAAAAAAGATTATTTCAAACACTTTTGTAAATTTTTGTGGATAATCCTTCCTAAATGTTTGCAATTTCAGAATTGTTAATTATGTTTTATAATGGCAGAAACAAATTCAAGAAAAATTAGCTGAAACGGAAAACAGTCTTGAGATAGACTAGCTGATCACCAAAAACAACTGGTATTACATAAATACATCTCATCAGATCTATTCAAACTACAGTATGGAACCGATTATGCGGAACGATTGGGATCATCGCTATTCCGAATAACTGATTTTTCCGGTTTTCTGAATCGCTACAAAAAGCCGTTTTTTTTATTGCTAAACCCAACAAAAAAAAAAATTTTTTTGGAAATAATCTTAAAAAGAAGAAAAGTCGATAAAGGAATACACTAATGATTATTTCCAAAATGATGGTAAGGTAAACATCTTTCAAAAAAGAAAGAAAAATCCCAAAATCTTATGAGGAAAAAAAAAAAAATTTAAAAAATGGCAGAAAAATTTATTGAATTTCGTTCTGGTTTTTTGGTTTTCTGATTTCCGGATAACGGGTTCTGTGCTGTAGTATTAAAGTAAACTAAAACACATTAACTATGCAATTTACTTTTTAGGGGTCTGTCTAGGTTTTTCTGAAAGGTACCTATTTTGTGAAAATTGAGACAGATTGTGAAAATTTAGGCATAATTTGAGAAAATTAAAAATTATATTAAAAAATCAAAAAAAAAAAAATTTTTGATTTATCTTTTCTTTCAGGATACAAAAATAAAATTTAAGAAAAAGTATTTTGTGAAACTACCGTTTTTGCTAACGTTGAATTTGTGAAGGTACCGCTAAACGGTAGTAAATTCGGTCTAGACAGACCCCTGCTTTTTCATGTTTTATTTTAATTAATCCAAATTAACACTATTGTGACTTATTCATCCACACAAATAAAATGTTAAAAAAAAGTAAATTAATATTACTCACTCGTAGATCTTCAACTTCAGGCTGATTTCTTAGTAATTCAACAAATGAAGAAAAGAAGTCTGTCCTCTCTACATGTCTTGGTGCTACACATAAGGTATCAATATCAGCTCCTATTGAATTGAAAAGAAATATCAAAACACATTTATGTTGTAAAAATTTTTTGATGTTGTAAAAAGTGTTATAATTTCACACATTTGTTTAACAGAATAATTTCTTATAATTAATGAAATGATTTCTTAAATGATTTAAGTATTGTCATTTTTATAAATTTCATGAAAAATGATTGCAACACACTTACCTTTAGTGTGAACACCTAATCTGTAGGACCCAAACGTGTAGATTTTACCACCCACTGTTTCAGCTATATTTGGAGGCATATTCTGAAAATAATTAATCATAATAAGTAAACATTTAGACAGTTGGTAAAAAAATGAATTTAAAAAATGTATTTACTTTTTTTAAGCTTATTTCTTTAATCCATTGCCTGACGAGCTGATTGATTTTGCTTAATACTTCCATACTAAAATAAAGTTTGCATCAATATTCAATACATAAATATAAAATACAAGAAAACTTAGATATGTGTCACTTTTAGTAATACTCAAAAATAATTCTGGTATTAAATTTTAGGAATACAAACAGAAACATCTATAATTAGTACACCCTGGCACATGCAACCTTTTTCAAGGTACCAGAGAATATTTCATGTCATATTATTTATTGAAAGAAAAAGAAATCTAGCACTTCTTGTGCTCTTATCAAACATTTAATAACTCATACTTAAATGTTAAAAGAGGAAAAATTACAAAAATAAAATCTTACCGATGAGCAAGTTCTTCATTAGACTCAAATAGCCCAAACTCTCGAAGGACCTTCTCTAATTCATTTGTACGAACAATATCTTCAGGCTTTGGCATAGCTGTACTAATAGGAGAAGTAACCCCCAACATGGCTGTGGAATTTTGCTTTGCCACATTGTTCACAATACTTGTACTAGTTTTCAGATTATTCAAATGTGTACTAATAGAAAGAAAAAAATTATTGCTTGTCATTACATTGCTTACAATCAAAAATTTCTTATTTGTTAGTATGTAACATAGATATAAATTTAGTTAATGAAATATTTTTATGTTATATTTCTTACACTTAAGTATTTTACAAATAAAATTGTTATATAATTTGTTATTTGAGTAAAAGAGTTATATACATTGAAGTTTGTCTTGTAGATTTAAATTGTATCAATTATAAAGTGTTAGATCATGCCACATAATTCTTACACACAAGCATTATAAGGATAAAAAAAATTTCTATAATTCAATTATTTGAATAAATTCTGTCCTAAAACTTGCAAACTCTGAATATATTCAATTTAACTAGAAAGTTGCTAAGAAATAAATAAGTTACCTTACATTTTGTTAATATATAAACAGCTACAGTTGTTTTAAAAAAAAGCTATTAATATATTGAATAAAACATTCTTTGAACATTTGTAGCTTTGAAACTACAATAGTGTGATTTTTATTATCTACTAGGGCAGATGCTCTAGGTTATGGGAACTCCTAAAGAGATTCTTTTAATATATGTAGTATTATATTTTATTTAATAATAATATAGGAAAAATGTTTGTTTTGTTTTTCTTCAAATACATATATCTGTCAAAAAAATTTAACCAATTTTATATTTATTAATCAATATTATTAACAGTAACCCAACAGAGAAGTGTCAAAAAATAAAAAGCTGAAATGTTGATATTTATTTTTACAAACTAAAGTATGAGAAGGGTGTCATTATTTGCACATCCACACTGAACCTAAATTCTAAATATTTATTCTAAAAAATTATTATCATAAAATTTATTTTAAGTTAGTTATTGTCACATGATAAAAAGTTTTGTCTAGATACATAATTGCCATAGGTATTGCATGGTTTTTATGTTTTCCAATATTTTCGTAAGGTTTAATATGATGTTTAAATTTCAAATTTGAGTCATCACTTTATAAGGCGTTCAAATTATGAGGATTCTATCATAATTGACTTTTAATAATAGTTTTCTTGGCTGTTATTTATAACGTATTTCTGGCTCTTTACTCAAGGTTTTTCAAATTCCAATATCTTTCATACATTATTACAATGTGCGAATTTAGAATTCGATCACTTTGTGACACGTACGATTCACAACGACTCTCATAAATACATGTTATCCAATAGCTTTTGTGGTCATTTTCAGCCTTTTTTTTTTATTCTGATATTTTCGGGGATATTTCTATATCGTAATCTGTAGCACCAACTACAATCGCCAAGGAGCCTAATAGATTTTAAACTTGCAAATTTTTTTCAAGAAAACATGCAGATGTTTGTCAGGGGTGGACAATTTATACCTTTCGAGTTGGTCCCTTTCTCTGATTTTTTTTTTTTTTTTTTTTTTTTTTNCTTTCTGTGGTATTTTTTTTCAGTTTCTTGCGGGACATTGCCCGGAAGTTTCCAACATTTGGCGATTATTCTGCCATAGATCACAATACGGAAATCTCTCCAATTTTTAGAGCATGTTATTATGAGTTAAGTTATTCAGGTAAAGGAGTCACTTTTTGACATGTGTTCAATTCAGATCGTTTCTATCTTAAAACACCATTTATAGACATATTTTTTGGCATATGTCTATCATTATTATATTACTCTTTTGATTCTGATATAATTAATACGAAGTTATGGCTAGTGAATTTCATATTTTATTAATCACTTTTTTTACACTTGCAGCAATTCATATTGTATCGTAAATCCACATTCTGCGTTATTTTTAAAAAGTTATTATCACAACATGCAAATTTTAAAACTTCCACAATAATGCTTATTTTATAACCAGTTTATAGAATGAACAAATCTAATTAAAAAACTATTTTTAGTTTCAAATAATTTTCCTTAATAACAAATTAGGTTTTTTTTTAATTAAAAATTAAGAATTTTGTCTATTTTCAAAGTCTTAAAAGCCAATTCTAATATCTTTGAGCAATGTCCTTTACTGTAATATATATGGGATAAAAAGTGTACCTTTCAGTTTCTAACACCCTGCCCATTTTTAAGTCCAGAAAGAACACTGGGTAAATGATATTGGATTTCTTTAAATAAAATAGAAGTATATAATTAGTTAAAACTAAACAATTTGTTAAATGAATTACTATACAATAACAATCTATCTAGTATTAATCTTTTTTCTGGAGAAAAAAAAATACTACAGACAACACATGTTGTTGGGTAAATGATATTGGATTTCTTTAAATGAAATAGAAGCATATAATTAGTTAAAACTAAACAATTTGTTAAATGAATTACTATACAATAACAATCTATCTAGTATTAATCTTTTTTCTGGAGAAAAAAAAATACTACAGACAACACATGTTGTTGGGTAAAATCAAGGCTGGATTTACGTATAAGCTAAATAAGCTGTCGCTTGGGGCCCCAAGATGACAACGGCCCCCAGATCCTACTTTCCCCCCTCTTTTTTTAGAGTTTTATTCGGAGCTGGGGCCCTCAGAAGACCAAAATGCATTTTTTTTCATTTTTACATTGTCGCACATAATAAATATTAATAAATGACTGAATAAAACAAAAAACTTTGTTGTCATTAGAAGGGAACATCCTTCAAGCAATTTGAGTGTTAATAAATTATTTATAAATTAACAATTTTTTAGTTTAAAAGGTAAAAAAAATTTTTTTTTGCCCCATCATTCGATCATCAGACTATTTAATATCTGGTTCTAAAGATCAGAATTCCCTTTTATTTTACTTTAAAATTGTACAAATGATATATTTAATGCTTTCATGTGATATGCAGCAGTTTTAAATAGCACTTTAAAATACCTAAAAAAGGACAGAAATTGTCAGTTCAAAAAAAAAATTAACTAATACTTTTGAATAAGAATTTAAATAACTACACAAGTTTGTTTAACTATCTCATTTTATATAGCATTATTTAGTGTAGACAGTTGTGTGTGGGTGTGATGATGACGTAATAAAAGAGGCATACAAAAAAGTTCAAATCCTCAATATTATATTTTTAAACTCCTCCAAAATGTAGTAAAAGAGGTATACAATTAACTGTCGCAAACAAATTAATAAAGTAAGAATGAAACAAAAATGATATTGAAATATGCTGAATCAAATGAGACCGGGATGAAAGACATCGAAACCTATTTGATTGTAATAGTATAAAGGCGTTTCTAAATTTCTGAAATCTATCAGGCTTTAATTTTTTTATCTGTCACAAACTTTATCAGTAATAAAAAATAAATTCGCTAGATTTCAATATTGGTTCTGTTTTTTCGTTGATTAAATGTTCAAAATTAACAGATATTTGTCTTTTAAAACATTACATTCTATAATAAGATAATTATTCTACAATTGTAATTATCTAAAACTAATTGCTAATTGATATAAAGCTTTAATGTGCTCCATTGATATGTTGAACGCTCGTTTTGGCTGGATGCCCGGGACTGTTGCTCTTTCACATCCTAGCCACAATACACCATCAAAAGCAGAGCTGATACTTTAAACCCGTATGACATTTATTCTCTCTGATATTTAATAGACCCTTTAATAAATCCTTAAAAATATAAGCCAAAAATTTACATAAATCATGACAATTTTTTTTCTTGCACTAAAATTTAACGAATGTACTTTATATAATTAAAAAGAAAGCAAAAATAATGAAGAAATATTTTCAATATAAACATCAATTAAATAATATCAGCTTACAAAATGCTCTTTTTATTTATACAAACAGTATTAATATAACGGCCCTCACCTGCTCCACGGACTGCTGGATTGGGTTCAAAATTACAAAGCTACGGAGTTGAAAATTAGTAGTCGTAAACTTGAAAATTGGGTCGGCTGTGCAATGACTGTTATAAAATAAACTAATAAATTTGGCCGGAATAGCATGGTTGATAGGGCGTTGTACTCGTGAGAGTTTGAATCCAGCCGGCAGAAGAATACCCATGTATAAAATAATGACTGGTGCATGTTAAATCTGTCGGGGTCACAAAGTCCTCATAACAAATAAATACCTCTGGTTACTAGGGCTGGACGATATAGAAATTTCTTAAATCGATATAATCAACCCTTTTATATCGCGATATTAGGTTATATCGATTTAACAATCTAAACGACAAAACTTAGAAATAAATCCACAGTACCCCTTCCTCTATTCAAATGTATTTTTTTTTTTTAACTCACTTACTCCTTTTTTTCACTTCACTTTTTTTTTTAACTCACTTTTTTTAACTCACTTACTTTTTTTTTTTTTAACTCCTAGTCCACAGAAATTTTGACAAAGTTGTTCTGATTATGAATAATTTTTTGCAGATATTCAAAAGCTTATTTAAATACTACAATTTACTAATTTTACTCTGTAACTTTTCACTAAAGGTATTGGAGAATATTGTTTACCTTTTTCTTTTGCATTTATTTTATTAGTAAAAAAAATTAAAAACTTTCACTTTCTCTGTACATATATAAATAACTATACATTAATATTTTTATTGAAAATATGCTTAAATGAACTAAGACTAGTTTAAAATTCATCATCATGCCTGCGCCCTAGTTTTNCTTTTATTTATACAAACTGTATTAATATAACAGCCCTCACCTGCTCCAGGGACTGCTGGATTGGGTTCAAAATTACAAGGCTACGGGGTTGAATATTAGTAGTCGTAAATTCGAAAATTGGGTCGGCTGTGCAATGACTGTTATAAAATAAACTAATAAATTTGGCCGGAATAGCATGGTTGATAGGGCGTTGGACTCGTGAGAGTGGGAGTTTGAATCCAGCCGGCAGAAGAATACCCATGTATAAAATAATGACTGGTGCATGTTAAATCTGTCGGGGTCACAAAGTCCTCCAAGTTCTCATAACAAATAAATACCTCTGGTTACTAATCTAGCAGTTCAATTGTTTTCTGGATTAGGTTCAAAATTACAAGGCTACGGAGTTAAACATCGGTAGCCGTAAACTCAAAATTGAGTCGGTTGTTCAACCGCGGTTATAAAAAAAATAAAACTAATAATTAAATTGTATTTTCTTGTTTTCTTNGATTAATCTAGCAGTTCAAATGTCTTCTAGATTGGGTTCAAAATTACAAGGCTACGGAGTTAAACATCGGTAGCCGTAAACTCAAAATTGAGTCGGTTGTTCAACCGCGGTTATAAAAAAAATAAAACTAATAATTAAATTGTATTTTCTTGTTTTCTTTCTAACTATTTGCATATTTTCTACGCACATTCAAAATTTCATGTTTCTAAGTCTTATAGATCTTGTAACGTAAAGAAAAACAATTATCTTTATCCAATTATTTTATCTTTAAGCCAATTAATCATTTTCACTACTAATTCTATTATTTAAGAATTTGTAAAGCGATTTTGAGTTCTGACAAAACCTAAATTTTCCATTTTCACATTCTGTTTACATAGTAACAAAACGAACTAAATATAGCACAAAGTTATTTCACAAAGTTAGGAAAATTATTATTCATAACTGTCTAATGGATAACATACTATAAAAAATAAAAATATGAGAACTATATTAGAGAATGCATTGTAAATGTTTAACCACATTCTTAAAAACACGGCACAAGATTTCAAAATTTATTTATCTTTTACTGAACTAAGCATTGAAAACTTTGATTAAAACTAGAATAAGGTAAAAATATGATACAATGTTTCGTATTTTTCATTTCAAGAAGAAAATCGTTGATATTAAGACACATAAACAAACTTACCTAGTCATAACGTCATGAAATGTTTACTTCGATTTACAAGATAGATATATTAGAAAGAGTATAAATGGTCTTTTAAATAAAAATAAACAATGTTAAAATATAACATGGATTTACAAAATGATCAAAAAAAGCTTAAAATGGAATTATAAGGTATGAAATTTTTTGACTTGTACACTTATTAACATGGCGTTGGATCAAAGAACTCTCGTTTCTTTGTATTTTTTAAGTAACTCATGTTATTGCCAGATTTATATATGAAGTTCTAGTATTTTTACGTTATTATCGCAGTAAGGATAATTCTGAGACGAATCGTGCACATGCGTCATTGAACAAAGGAAAATGAATTCATTGCAACGAAAATGGTCTCTCAGCTAGTTTTTAAACTAATCATGGTTAAATGGTATGCAGCTCAGCTCTATTATAAATAAGGTCCCGCAGTGGTCTGATCGTTAAGACACGGTTCCCAGCAGATCACCGAGGTCAAGCATCACTGGCTAAGGTCAGTGTGCTGGTGGGTGACCACTTGGATCAGTCTGCGTAGGGACCGAGGATGTGCGGTATGGGTCCACGTTAAACTGTTCTACTGTAAAGTGCTCAACTTCACGTGTAGGTCTTCGGGCTACCGAAGTGGGGGTGCTATTCCCTCTGCAGAGGATCAAAATTGTGATGGCATGTCTTCGGATCATCCTCCGGGATGTTTCCCAGACCGTCGCCAATAGCCCATTGTGCAGCTCTAGTGCGATGTAAATGAACTACTACTACTACTATTATAAATAAGATCATCTAAAATATATAAGTTACGAAATCAGACATTAAACCGGACTCTCTCTGAATAACACACTTATTTTTCCGACGGAATCAGAATAGAGAAGAAAAAAAATCTAGATGATCATGAGAACGATCAACAATATGGGACCCTTAATGTTATTTTCACTTATTACGGATTTCGTCATATCTCAAAAAGTTTTAAATGTAATAAAAATACTTTTGCACATAATTAAGTTTGTTTAAACAATGATAATTCCATACAAATATATTTTTTTAATTAATAAAAGTTCAAAAATAATTAGATTTCTAAGGCACCTAAATTTTTACATAATCTTGAAGTACGTAATTATAAATTTTATTTTTCTTTCTAACCGTAGTTGAACAGTCGACCTAAATTAGAGTTTATGACTACCAATGTTCAACTCCATAGCCTTACAATTTTGACCCAAATCCAGAAGACACGAGAACTCCTGGATCAGTACCCCTAGAAGTAGGAGTTTAGAGGACTTAGTGACCTCTACAGATTTACTGTGCACTAGTCACTTTAATACACGAGGATTCTTCGGCCGACTGGATTTGAATTCCCGTTCTTTCGAACACGAGTCCAACACCCTACCAACCAGGCTATCCTGGCCCCATGTAATTATAAATGTCAAAATACAAAAGAACACAGGAGAGGTCGTGAGTTTGCTCTGTCGGCCGATGACTCCCCATGTTCAAAATAGTGACTGTTGCAAGCTAAATCTGTGTTGTTATGTATTATTTCAGTACATATTAAATAAATGAGCAGGATCTAGCATCTCGCAAACACATTTATTAACAACTTAACGAGATACACAAAAACAAACTGAAACTAAACATAAAAGCAAACTGAAACTAAAACTAAACAGTTACTACACAGTTACAGTTAATCTGGCTGATGCCACAAAATCTGTCGGGGTTTCAATAACCATGCTCTGGTTCAAGAATAAATTACGATCTACGGAGCGATGGTTGTGAATGTATACTCCCTGTAAAATGGAATGAGATGTATGCATGTTGTCTCCAAATCATCCTCAAGGATGTTTCCCAGACCGTCGCCAATAGCCCATTGTGCAGCTGTAGTAAGACGTAATTAAAAAAGAAAGAAACATACGAACAAACAAAAGGAACCCGCAAAAATCTTATGAAAATTATTTCTCTGACAAATAGACTGGAAATTTAGTAAGCTTGGTAGTTCAAAACATTCTGATCAAAAGTTCTCATTGACACAATATCCAAAAATGGATAGTTTCCGAGATACAGAGTGTCAAACATAGAGATAAATGCAGCAGGGTCATTCTCACTAAAAAGGCATAAATAGACTAAAAAATTTTCTTAAATTAAAGTAATTAAAAAAGTGATAAAAATTACACAAATGCCTTTATTTATTTTTGTTATATGTCCTTATAATAATGGCCAAGTTTTCTATTTTATTTTTTACAAGATTTGAAATTCGGTCTTGTCTACGAAGGAGATGTAATAGTCAACGGACATTCTTCTCTTTACTTTTCTGAAATCTGCTTAATTTTTTTTTTTATATCCTTCAAGTCTAGTATTTAGTTTTTCTCTTCTATCTTCTTTTTTAATTAGAATTATTTTCTTTGACAATGTTATTATTATTCAATAGAGAAGATGAGCTCGGAGTTGTATATATGATTAATCCTTCAGGTTCTTCCAAACGTTTTCTTTATTGTTTACGATATTCTCCTGCTTTTTCTTTCCAAACTTTTCTTATTTTTCTCTTTTCACGTTCATTTATTTCTTGAACACTTTTAATTTTTCCACAGGCTTTTCTTTGGTGGTAACGCTATCTCTCTCTCTCTCTCTCTCTTTTTTACTATCTTCAATATAGGGTTTTCTTTTAATTTCATTCTAGTTTGTCTCATGCTAAGTTTTTAATGTTCCCTTCTCTTTTGGATTTGAACATTTGATTGCTTTCTTTTTTTACATTTTGGTTCTGCCATTTTTTTCCTAAATTTTGAAGAGTAAAAAAATTTTAAACATCACAGAAATTATGTAGAAAAATATATCCAATATTTACTTCTCCGATAAGAAAAAGTTGAATTTAATTGATTTTCTTTAAAAATACAAATAAATTAACGCATTTATTCCTTTTTTAAAAAATATCAATTAAAATAAAATTTATTGTTTTCTTTATCCAACCAATAGATTTTGTTTTGCGGTATTATGTCCTGGAATGAAATAGCATCAGAGAATTTCTTGGCTTCTTGGTAGCCCTGTACGCCACTGATAAGACTGCAAGAGGTTAAAATTTAATATCAGTAATTTTTACAGAATTTAATTTCCTATAACGAGTGTTATAAATGTGAACAAAAGGATTTAGTTACAATGGAAAAATAATTTTCCAAAAAGTAGGATTATGATTAGTAGATTACTAAACTATAATCTGCCAATTTAATTATTTTAAATTAAAGATGTAAGGCATGGGGTTTGTTGTAAGCTTTAATGGCATAAGCATATATTGCGCCACGCTTAAATGATTTTTCCTCACCTGAGTAAGTGCAATCAAGCGAACCTGTAAATTAAGTCTGGCACAAGAAAAAAAGAGGAAAGGTCAGACAGGCCTCTTGGGGACTGGAAGACTGCAACTTTTTCCTGGAACATATGAAGGGAAATAAATTTATTATATTATGTGCGAGAAGTGTGTGTTTTTAAAGTGTTTATTAGCAAAATTCAAAAGCGACCTAACCAGAAATTTAAGGACTCTAAGAGTAGGATATTTAAAAAGTAGTATTTCAACATTTTCAACTACAAATAAAACTTCTTCTAAAGGAATGAAAAACTTTTCTCACTTGTATTTGTTAAGTTGATGATAGATTTAAGTTGATAAGTGCTAGTTGCTATATCGATAATACTGAATTAAGAATAAGTGCACGCAATAATTTTGATTTATTCGAATGATCTCGATCAGAATTTAACCATAGATATTTAAATCATACTTGAAGACTAAAGCCGATACACATGACTCATAGGCTATCATCGCATCATATACACTGATGCTCATCATAAGATATGACTGCTTAAGTTCATGGTTTTATAAAGTTAATGAAATGCAACACAGTTTCTTAAAAAAGGAAAATATATATATATTAGTTTAATGCATTTTCTGCCATTTTCTATAACTATCCATTAATGATAGTCAACAATTGATTTTTTAATTCCATTTTATTGAGAAATAGCATAGCTTTCAGTCAAATAATACTGCATGAAATGTTTTTATTTACTATTTTTGAGTAAGAATGACAATGCATTCATTCTAAGTTAAATGATTTCTAATTTTAAATATATATATATACTTTTAAGTTAAAAGGTGATTTCACCGAATAATTGAATTCCTCAATAATTTTCCTACATTTTGGTATTCTTAAAAAATAAAAAAAATAAAAAATAAAAAACTGAAAACATGTGTACTTATCGAATTTTAAAAAAGACAGATATTTAAAATCGATTTCTCAGTACTATTCGACCGACTTCATACAAATTTATTTTCCATATAAATTTGCATTCTTTAAAATGATGTAAAAATTTGCATACCTCGAGATTAAAATTGTTTTGATCTTTATTAATAAAAATAAAGAAAATAATAAATAATTATTAAAAATGATTTTTGCTTTTAACCTTTTTTTTATGAAACTATCTTTGGTTTGGATAATCGATTCCTCTCCTGACTAAACAAATGGAACCATATTTTCTTGAGTGCAGCTATTTCCCATATTTTGAGGGTCCGATTCAGTCGAAGAAAAAGGTATGTTTATAAAGAGAAAGTACATTTTTCTATCCGATTTCATAACTTAAAATATCGTCTGCACTAACGCATTAACTAGTTAGATCAGTGGTTTCCAACTTGCATGAGACCGGGGGCCACAATTAGAAACACAAATCAAATGGTGGGCAGCAACTTTATCAAAATGTTTTGTAGGACTCTTTTATGTTTGAAGGAACATTAAATATTACTGTCAGAGTTTTACCAAGTTGTACGAAACAAAAGTATTGAATTACAAATTAAAATGGGAAGTAGATTTTTAAAAATATTTAATTGTTATTAATAACATTTTTAAAAATATTAAATAAATAATAAAAATTCGGGCAACAATAACTTAATGTGCACCTATGTATTAAACAATTAATGTGCAACAGATACCTAATTGTTAAGGTATTAAAACTTACATAGTAACACACAAAATATTTAATGAGAAAATTGAGGTTTGTCTGCTGCAACCACCAGAGAATAGATATTTGCAATTTAAATTTAAAATTTACAAGCGTGTGTGAAAATATTTTCGTCCAAAATGAGTGGTTTCAAAAAGTTAAATCGGAGATCTTCGAGAAAATTTCTGATACGCACATGCTAAGTTATATTCACAAAATACAAAAGAAATGAAGTAAAAAAAGAACAACATACACGATTATTTTTGTATTTGAATAAATATTTCCTT